GTAGCCTCAACCCTTAAGAGCAATGTATAGGGAATCCCAGCGCTAATTGCCCTTAATCCGGTTAAGGCCCCTATAGTAGCGTGTTAGTCATCTCCCCCAGTATTAAGAGACGATGTTCAGGTCCGTTTCCAGGCAGAAGGCTTCGGAATCGTGAGGCTTGGGTTTCAGCGCCTCCGATTGGGGCTTTATTCTGGTGTTTAGGTTTCATCGGTTTTAGGATTTAGAGCTTATTGGTGCATTTCGGCTCTGCTTTGCTGGGCTTCCTATGCAGCTTTCGTGGGCGAACGTTGCAGCCGCTTGGTGTCTCAGAACGGGGCGCGTTGCCGAGCCTTGCTTTGCCGACGCAGGCACCAGTGGGAGTTTTTTGCTTTCTTAATCATGTGCAGTTCATTTTTCGGTGCCATGTTGGGCAGGATCTGTCTTTTGTTGGGGGTCTATATGGCCTGCTTTATGGAACACTCGAGTCTCCCCAGAGTTGGAGGGCTGGGGAGCACTAAGCCGTCCAATCGACATGTTTGATTCGGGTTTCGGAGGCCTTGATTGAAACAACCACCACAGACATGATACAGACAGGACTCGTGCTGCTATTGTAAGTTGAAGTTATCGCGGTCTAAAACCTCGCAGCCCTACATCGATTAGTCGAGAGCTGGAGTGCTTGTCTTGTGTAGGGCTTTAGTTGTTCAGGGTGAATGTTAACTCCCCAAGTCTTCGGGTTCCTTTAATAGGGTTCTATAGCTTATGGCAGGGAGCTCTTGGCTAAAGAAGCTACCGAAATCAAATACCGTAAGTCAGAACGTCCCGTAGAATCCGTAGAAGCGAAATAGCGTTAAGTATTCCTGCTTCTAAACCCTCAACCCTAATTATAACAAACCCGGCAAGCCCCCAACGTATGAACAGCAGCCGTGCTGCGACGATTTAGTAACCCAGGGAGCCCGGCAACCCGCAATCAAGCAATGCACCGTAGAATGCAAAGAGATCCATGACATGAGATAAAAGAGGGATCCGCACAAAATATGGGCTAGAAAACGGGCTGTTGGTCTTGCTGGCAAGTTACCAGGGTGTTGGACTACAACGCCAGGCATGCTTCCCAACAGCCCTTGTGCTCCAGTTCCCTAAGTAATATAGGGGCCTAAATAGTTACTAACACTATTTTGGGGGTTCCTTATTATAGTGATAGCATATGTTCTTTATATACCGGCCAGGTGGAAATCTTCATGTACTCCAATACCGAGCCTTTCTTCGCTGAAGCATTGGGCTAAGCTTTGCACACGGGCGAGTGGGCTGAAGTGTTTAGGAGCAGCCGTTTTTCACTGCCTTCTTATTCCTGATGTGCGAGGCCGTGGTATTTGTTGCCAGAGCACTGTTTTTGTGTTGCTCATCTTGATGTGTACCATGGCGTGGTCTGATCTACCCTCATTGTTGCGAGTTCGTACTATGCACACGGGCTGGGGTCGCATGCCGGTGGTTTGGAAGGTGTAAACGGGTGCGACTGTCCGAACGCTTTTGAGGTGCTGCCTACACCAGCCATCAGCGTATACCCTGCGCGGTTAAGTCTCGAGCGTGTTCATGCTGATCAGCTTATGTAGGCGTGTTAACGTCGGCATAACATGTACTGCTGGATTAGATTCGCAGCAGGAACTTCAAGAGTATTTGCTATGCGACACCGTATTTTCTAAGGGTCTTATCCTCATTACTCTCTTGGGGTCCTTGGTTTTTACTCAGGGGTTTTGAGCTCACAGGACTGACAATGTGGTATGTCCACGGCCTCCACCATAAAGTGTCAATGCCAGCTAGCTATACATTATTCAAGAAAATGTTGGAGCATCGTCGTAGGGCTGAATGCATTAACTTATTGGATGTTGTGCGGGTATAACTAGCGCTGTCAAGGCTATTGGCTTGAACTGGGTTCGATTCAGGTAAGATGACTCACTGTAATGTAGCAGTACACTAACTACGGAATATATTCATGACTTGCTTCGGTTGACCTCCGTTCCGGCAGTATAGGAGTGGGGAAGAATAGTAATCGTATTCCGTCATAGTCCCTGTGGTTTTTCTGCAATCATAGAATAATAACCCCAAAGCCTTGTTCTACTGATTATAAGTCCTTTGAAAGATGCTTCAAACTAGAACGCTTGTAACCTTCGACCACAGAGCCCCCTTAAAAGAAAATGTGATCCTTCGAAATGTTGGAAGCTCAGGCTGGTCTTTTAGGGTTTGGGCTTTGCTGTCGTGAGTGCCGGTAAGCCTGTACGAAGCTCGCGTCCCAAGTCCAAACCCGGCATCTTGCACCACTGGCTCAAGACCTTCTTGCTTGCATCTACCAGCTTTCGTGACCTCGCCATCTCCTACGCTCGTCAATCATGCGCGAGCTCGTGCACATCCAGGGAGGACGGATCCTGCACACAAAGAGGGCCCACGATGATTTCGATCGGGTACTTGGGTTGTGGTGGGTTTAGCAGGTTTAGGTGAAGTTGTTTACGGTTTAGGGCTAGGGCGTAGGGTCCAGGGTCCAGGGTAGGGCGTAAGGCTGAAGGTCTGCATAGGTTTCTGAGATTTTCTGAGCTTGTAGGCTGCTGTTTGCACTCTCACGCCATCGTGCCTTAGAGTCTTTCTTGAGCTAGGAGCAACCACGCGTATTTCGTTTTTTTAGCGGCTGGGGCCTAAATGAGCTTAGCCAGGCCTTGAACTTTCGATCCACAGCGTTTTGGGTAGGCATGGCCTGATGATTTTCTACCTGCCGCGAACCACATACAGGGCTAGGTTGCTGGCAGACAAACCTAAACCCCAAACCCCAAACCCTAAACCCTATAAACCCTAACCCTAAACCCTAAACATCTCCTTGTGCAGGACAATGTGGTAATCAGATCGGTGCCAAATTCTGGGAAGTCATCGCCGATGAGCATGGCATCGACCCGACAGGTGTGAAGCGATAGTTAGGGTTTGGGATGTAGGAGCCGGATGCTGTACTGTATGTAGGGTTTCTTGGTTTTCAATACTTGTGCGGCTTGTGATCTTGATTGCATATATATATATACATATGTACATACAGGTTTCAGATCTTCATCCCCCAACACCCAACATCCTCGTAATCCCGATCCTTAAGCCCTACAGCACCAAGTCCCGGGACGCATATTATGACATCATGACTATTATACCAAACGCTTTTATATTTCTGTTGCTACTGTTTAATCGTTCTTGCACTCCAAGCCGTGCTTCCTAAAGCTGGGGGCTTTTGAGGCACCTACCACGGGGACTCCGACCTGCAACTGGAAAGGACGCCAAGCGGCAATGCACCATGTAAGCTCGGGCTTGTGGAAGCTACTTTTTGGCTAGAAAAAGTTAGTTATGTTATCCCCTTATATAGTCACTAGAGTCCCAATTATGTGATTATAACACAACATACACCAGAATCCCTTCAGATCATCTCAGAACATATCTAGTGAGTCTGGTGCATCATGGTTCTGGAAACCAAATCCCCTCATTAGGCCTTATAAGGCTTTTACAGCGATTGAAATATGAAGTTGGGTTAAGGGCTAAGTTAAGCGTGTTGGATTATATATATATATAGATATACAAATATAAATAAATAAAAATATATATATATATATTCATTCCGGCAAGACGACGATCAGGATCAACGTCTATTTCAATGAGGCTACCCGGCGGCATCTTCCGGGCAATACCCGAGCTTTCGCTCCTGCCGCGCCTGTCGCTAACTCTCTACGGAGTTAGGTTGCGTGCGGTTTCACTGAGGCTACTGGCGGCCGCTACGTGCCGCGGGCAGTCTTGATGGATCTCGAGCCAGGACCAGTTTATTTTTGAAACGCCGACTTGCGGTATGCATGAATTTACAACACTCGATATGGTTGGGTTTTCGGGTAAACGACTCAAGTCACACACGCACACATGTGTATGCGTATGTATGTATGTATGTATGTATGTATATATATATACATATATATATATATGCTACCTACCTACCCCCCCCCCCCACCCCCCCCGGANNGTTGTTGAACCAGCAGCAGCCGATGCAGAAAACTGCGGAACTGCGATACGCGGCAAACGAAGCATGTGCGAAACATGCAGCAATCGAGTCAAACGAGTGTACTAGGTGCTATTTGCGATTTTGTTTTGTTCTCATAGGCGCAGATTCCGGTGAGCAACTTGTAGTATACTAGTATGTATACTAGTATCCATAAGTCTTAGTCTGAATGTTCATATGAATATGAATGGGATTATGGAAATATATATATATATATTACTGTTGATATCAACAAAAATACGAGTATTGATATATGTAAGTGTTTGAATACCAATACCTATATTAGTACTAGCATTGGTATTAACATTGGCATTAGTATTCCATACTAAAGGATTTTGAAAAACAACCCAAAAAACCTAAATCCTAGAAGTCTTCCGCTGGGAGGCCTGTGAAAAGACTCTCCGGTTTTAGTTTTTTTCAATTAGGATTCAGGTTTTTTGAGTCAATTAGGTTAGTTAGGTTTTTTCGACAAAGCTTCCCCAAACCGCAAACCTTAACCCTCGGCCCTGGAAGACAGACATTGCAACGCTGTTGTAGATGGCGCGTACTTGAAGCCAGAAAATGATGGATCCACGAAATTGGCACCATATCTATTTATCGATCGATCTATCTGTTTTTCTATCTATATATATATATATGTGTTTATACTTGTTTCATATTATATATATATATTCCAAACGTGGTGTCTCTGAGTTCGTGCTTTTTACGGCGGATCGTTGGGTTTTAAAGCCTCTACCAAAAGCGTCAGAAATGTAAAGCCCACGAGCTGGAGGCACCATGGACAGTGTTCGAGCTGGTCCTTTCGGCCAGTTGCTGGGCTCTAGGGATCTATATTTGTATTAAGTTGGTTTGACTTTGGGGGGTCGCAACAGCCTTAATCCTGTACATGGTTTTTCCTGGTCTAGGATTCTGAATGCAAACATGCACCAGTGGAAAAGAGCTGCATTTTGTAACCCAGGTTGTTCCGCCCTGACAACTTCGTTTTCGGACAAACTGGCGCCGGCAACTTAGCGGCCGAGAAGGCAACTTTTCGGTTTTGCTTTTCCCTAAGGGTCCAAGTAATGCTTATTTATGGTTCTTGGTACTCGAAATGGCTTCAGGGTCCTACAATAGGGAGTACCTGGCCCCGTGGGGTTTGGTTTCATTCGATGTCAAAGTAGGATTTGCCTGAGCCGCGTTTGTGAGAACCATACTTAAACCGCAACAATTTCCGAGTGGCCACAGTTTCCTTGACGCCCAAGGAAACAATTGGGCTAAAGATGCTCGGCTGCGGATTTGAGAGTGAGCTTAGGGTTTAAGTTTCGGGATCTTATATACGTGTGTCGTACCACATCGAGGCTGGAAGTCCGCATGCTTTGGCGATGGCGGTTGATTTTCAATTCGTGGTGCAGATGATATCATTGTGCACAAAGTTTTTGTTCTGGACTAAGGGACACTACACGGAAGGTGCGGAGCTGATCGACAGCGTGCTGGATGTTGTGAGGAAAGAAGCCGAGGGCTGCGACTGCATGCAAGGGTTTCAGCTGTGCCACTCGCTTGGAGGAGGCACCTAATCGGCGAAAGTATTAAGCCCGCAACCGTTACCTGCCGCTACCCTTTCTACCACTACGTCACTACGAGAGGCTCGAACAAGGAGGACGACTACCGACCACCACCACCTGCACCACCACCAACAACAACAAGTCACTTGTCTTTGCCAGTGCTCGGCACTGGTTGCCTTTCCCAAGGCGTGTTTGGCGAATGTTGTGCGGGCATCGCGAAATTTGCCGACCAGTAGTTTTGCAAGGTGCATATGCTGCACATATGAACGACAAGAAGGCTGTCGAAATCTGTTCAGCAGTTGTCCTATGTTGGGCCATGCGTATGTGTTACAGTTACATGCGCCCAACATGTTTGGCTTGTAGCTGCCCACGGCAACTTTCGGCTAACGGCGAAAGCCACGGCATTCGCGTGACTATCATGCCTAACATAACATGTATTGGTCGGCTTGGCATTGTGCTTTGTGTAGATAGTTGTGCAGATTCGCGGACAAGACGAGCAGAAGCCAACAACACAATGCAAACACTAGGCAAGAAGACATAGCAGGCATCGGCATCCACTGTACATCATGACCATCAGCACCATCGTCATCATCATCATCATCACCTTCGTCATCATAACCATGAGGAATCCTCTTCTTCTTGTTCACAATGATTGCATGTGACTTGAACACGGGTACCCTTACCAACGGATGCTGTGGTGACGTGGACGTGGCTTGGGTGCTCTGATATGGAAGAGTCGCCTGGATGAGCATGTAGCCCACATGTCGGCAATTCTCTAAAGTAGGGTCCTTTTTTAGCCTGTGTCTCGGTGCGGCGCACGCGCGTGGCCGACGCTAAACAGGATCAGAGCCTGGGTTCAAAAAAGGATTTGGGGGACTTCGTCAGCATCATCATCAGCAACAGCAAGGAAGGAAACTTCAGCGGGAAGACCAACAGCACCACGAGCAGCTCCTCAGTTATAGGGGCTCACATGATTTCTAATATTATCAGTCTTTAGGGCTGCTTGTTATAACTATACCATAAGATACCTCAAAACTCTATTCTAATCACTCAGGGCCCTATAGTACACCTGAGCGACATGCAACAAAACCAGCCGTAAACCTTTTTCTTTCCGGACATGTTGCAGCATTGCTTCATCCTGGTCTGTCTAATTTGAATGTTTCTGGCCGGACTGCTTCGCTAGTCTGGCCCCCCCCCTCCCCCCAAACCGAAACAGAAGCGAGGTCAAATGAGGGCACTTAAATTGGCTCCATGGTTGCGTGACAGGCACTGGAGCCGGAATGGGCACTTTGCTGGTCTCAAAAGTGCGTGAGGAGACCTCTCATGTGTGAAGCTTTGTCTATGACCGTCCTCGATGCAGCCGGATGCTGTTTTTTGTGGTTAGAATCAGTTGCAAAGACCCCGGGTGCTGACGAGGAGTATCCTGACAGAATCATGGAAACCTTCTCGGTGATTCCGAGCCCGAAAGTTTCCGACACAGTCGTGGAGCCGTACAATGTTGCTTGGGCAGCAGCCGTGACACAAGCAGTCCTTGCACGAAGCGTTCTTGTCATCGGCGCGAAGTGGGAAATAACAGAGAAACCACAGAACAACATTTATAAAATGTTTGATGTCGAAGATTCGTGTCTGTCCAGGTCCAGGTTTCCCAAGTCCCAGGCCCCCTTAGCGAGGTTCGTGTCATCTTGTTCGGTCCAAGGCTGTGCTGAGCTTCCACCAGCTCGTGGAAAACTCTGATGAGTCCTTCTTGTTGGATAACGAGGCGGGCCCGGTGAGGGTTTAATAGGGCGGGGAAAAAAGACGATGCGAAGTTTGAAATCTTCGTTTCCGGTCCAGGCCCTGTACGACATTTGCTTCAGAACACTGAAGCTCACCACGCCGACGTATGGTGACTTGAACCACCTTGTGTCCGCGGCCATGAGTGGCGTCACTTGCTGCCTGCGTTTCCCGGGCCAGCTGAACTGCGACCTGCGCAAGATTGCCGTGAACCTGGTACCCTTCCCGCGGCTGCACTTCTTCATGACAGGCTTCGCACCGCTGACTTCGCGCGGCTCGCAGCAGTACCGGGCTCTCACGGTCCCGGAACTGACACAGCTACTGAGCTGAAGGAGAGGTCGGGAGGCTTCAGACTTTCTCCTAAGTGTCCCAGAACCGAGCCTGATTTCCATGAGCCTCTTGGCACAATCGCAGTCCGAGACATAAAAGTTCTCAACGATGGCCCATTTGTGCGACCGTCAAACAGAAATGCATTTTGCTTAGGCAACTGTGTCTTGCCATTCTTTGTTTTCCTACTAGCGCTTGCTTAGGCAGATGTTTGATGCGAAAAACATGATGTGTGCAGCCGATCCGCGTCATGGGCGCTACTTGACGGCGGCAGCACTCTTCCGCGGCCGAATGTCTACGAAAGAGGTGGGTGAGCAGATGCTTAAACCCTAAACCCCATGCCTATGAATTCAACAAACATACCTGCAGGTGGATGAGCAGATGCTTAATGTCCAGCAACTTGGCAGCATACAGGGGCCTGGAAGATATTGACATTCTTCATAAGTTATCTTAGTATAAGTATATAAACCCTAAACCCTTAAACCTCAACCCCAAAACCCTCAACCCCTAATAGTAGTATAAAGGTCACTGTTTTTTAGGACCTAAGGCCTGAAGGCTCGGCAACGCAAGTTTTCCCCTAAGTCCGTTGCTGGGCCTTAGTTAGCTTTTAGAGTCCTCGAGAGCATCGTGCACCTCTCCAGGAACAAGAACTCATCGTACTTCGTGGAGTGGATTCCGAACAACATCAAGGCATCCGTCTGTGAGCCCTGGAGGCAAAGAACATGGGAACCATCGTTCTCAACCCTAAACCCTGTCCGCTGGGATAAGCAGAGTTTTAGCCCTTTTATAGACTTATGGAGTTGTAGGTTAATTGCTTGAGGTGCAGGATTTTCTTGCGGGTAAATCCCAAATCGCTGCTCTCATGCGAGGACATCCCTCCCAAAGGCTTGAAGATGGCTGTGGCCTTCGCCGGCAATTCCACCGCCATCCAAGAGATGTTCAAGAGGGTTGCGGAGTACTTCACCGCCATGTTCCGGCGCAAGGCCTTCTTGCACTGGTACACGGGTGAGGGTATGGATGAGATGGAGTTCACGGAAGCAGAGTCGAACATGAACGACCTCGTTTCCGAGTATCAGCAGTACCAGGATGCCACGGCCGAGGAGGAAGG